TCTCTTGTATGACGTGGTTTAGGTTGCGATTTTCATGAATCATAGAGTATGGAAGTTGCAATTTTCATGTGATAGATTTTTTTGGTGAAATGAATTAGTGTAGTGAAGGAGTTAAAGTATTAGTGTACTAGTATAAATGGTGTGTTTGGAGGCTGTGAGAGAATAAGAGATTTTAGGGTTTGTAAGATTAGACTATTTATATTAGGTGCATGATGTATGTTGGGCTTTGTCTTTTGGGCTTTTAGCATATAGCTATTTCTCATCCTTTTGTAAGTAATAACCGGGTACCGGGTCTAAAATTTTTGGATTCGGAATTGGAACTGGTTCTAACCGGGTCCAAAATTTAGAACCGGACCCGGACCCTTTTGGACCAATTCCGGGTCTGGACCCGCCGAGTCCAAACCGGTTCCAAAACCGGGTACCCTATATTTTGCTCACCCCTAAACAGGACGATGGTCATGGAAGTCGAAATCCGCTAAGGAGTGTGTAACAACTCACCGCCGAATCAACTAACCCCGAAAATGGATGGCGCTGAAGCGCGTGATCTATACCCGTCCGTCGGGGCAAGTGCACGGCCCCAATGAGTAGGAAGGCGCATTGGTCGCTGCAAAACCTATGGAGTGAGCCAAGGCGGAGCGGCCGTTGGTGCAGATCTTGGTGGTAGTAGCAAATATTCAAATGAGTACTTTGAAAGCCGAAGAAGGGAAAGGTTCCATGTGAACAACACTTGCACATGGGTAAGTCAATCCTAAGATAGGGGGAAGCCTTTCCGATAGCGCGTTTAGCGCGAGCTTTGAAAGGGAATCGGGTCAAAATTCCTAAAACGGGACGTGGCGGTTGACGACAACGTTAGGAAGTCCAGAGACGTCGACGGGGGCCTCAAGAAGAGGTATCTTTTTTGTTTAACAGCCTGCCCACCCTATAATCGGCTCATCCGGAGGTAGGGTCCAGTGGCTAGAAGAGCACAACACGTTTTGTGGTGTCCAGTGCGCCCCCGGCTGCCCTTGAAAATCCAGAGGACCGAGTGCCGACCACGTCTGGTGGTACTCATAACCGCTTCAGGTCTCCAAGGTGAACAACCTCTGGTCGATGGAATAATGTAGGTAAGAGAAGTCGGCAAAATGGATCCGTAACTTCTGGAAAAGGATTGGCTCTGAGGACTGGGCACGGGGATCCTAGTCCCGAACCCGTCGGCTGTCGGCGGTCTGCTCGAGCTGCTTCCGTGGCTAGAGCTAGTCGCCGCGTGCCGACCGGGGGACGGACGGGGAACGATCCCTTCAAGGGCCTTCCCCGGGCGTCGAACTGTCGTCAACTCAGAACTGGTACGGACAAGGGGAATCCGACTGTTTAATTAAAACAAAGCATTGCGATAGTCCGTGCGGATGTTAACGCAATGTGATTTCTACCCAGTGCTCTGAATGTCAAAGTGAAGAAATTCAACCAAGCGCGGGTAAACAGCGGGAGTAACTATGACTCTCTTAAGGTAGCTAAATGCCTCGTCATCTAATTAGTGACGCGTATGAATAGATTAACGAGATTCCCACTGTCCCTGTCTACTATCTAGCGAAACCACAACCAAGGGAATGAGCTTAACGGAATCAGCGGGGAAAGAAGACCCTATTGAGCTTGACGCTAGTCCGACTTTGTGAAATGACTTGAGAGGTGTAGGATAAGTGGGAGCTTTGGCGCAAGTGAAATATCACTACTTTTAACGTTATTTTTTTTAATTCGTGAGTCGGAAGCGTGGCAAGCCCCTCCTTTTAGACCTAAGGTCCGCTTTGCGGGCCGATCCGGGCGGAGGACATTGTCAGGTGGGGAGTTTGGTTGGGGCGGCACGTCTGTTAAAATATAATGCAGGTGTCCTAAGATGAGCTCAACGAGAACAAAAATCTCGTGTGGAAAAGAAGGGTAAAATTAAGCTCGTTTGATTCTGATTTTTAGTACGAATACAAACCATGAAAGCATGGCCTAACGATCCTTTAGACCTTTTGAATTTAAATCTAGAGGTGTTAGAAAAGTTACCACAGGGATAACTAGCTTGTGGAAGCTAAGAGTTCATAGCGACGTTGCTTTTTGATCCTTCTATATCGGCTCTTCCTATCATTGTGAAGCAGAATTCACCAAGTGTTGGATTGTTCACCCACCAATAGGGAACGTGAGTTGGGTTTATACCGTCGTGAGACATGTTAGTTTTACCCTACCGATGACAGTGTTGCAATGGTAATTCAACCTAGTATGAGAGGAACCGTTGATTCACACAATTGGTCATCGCGCTTGGTTGAAAAGCCAGTGGCGCGAAGCTACCGTGTATTGGATTATGACTGAACGCCTCTAAGTCAGAATCCGGGCCAGAAGCGACGCATACATCCGCCGCCCGATTTCCGTCCTATAGTAGGGGCTTCGGCCCCCAAGGGCACGTGTCGTAGGCTAAGCTCGCGCGGTGGATGCGCTGTGAAAGCCGTCTTGAAGTACAATTCCTATCGAGCGGCGGGTTGAATCCTTTGCAGACAACTTAAATACGTGACAGGGTATGTAAGTGGCAGAGTGGCCTTGCTGCCACGATTCACTAAGATTCATCCATGTGTCGCTTCGATTCGTCCCCCCCCCATCCTATTCCCTAAAAACACCTATATTTTGGAAAAAGAGGTTAGCGTTGCTTCTTATATGTTAAAAAATGCTAATTAGTGGATTAAGACAAGTGACAAAGACAAAGTGTTGGGGTGTGGGATGGTACAAGGGGGCGTGTGGCATGTGCACAAGACATGTGCACCCAAGGACAAGACATACAAACAACTAGTTTTATCGTTTGAGGCCTTAAGACATGGTGATTAAGGATGAATGAGATGATTCTCAGCATCATTCATGATTCCCAAGGCCCTTTTGGAACCCAGGGAAGTACTTGGATGCATAATCTTGCCGGTGAAAAAATGATGTACGGAATCCAAATTTGAAGGCTATAATACACGAAATCGGAGCAATTTAGTAGGTGTCCGGACCCGGTGTCAGAAATTCACGGAATTTTACGAGATGCATCCCGAGATCAAATGATGTTGTTTGGACCCATATACAACCAAAAGTCGGCTACATAAAGGCCCCGTGGAAGCTTATAGCCAATACAAGTTGCGTGTACGAAAACTGATAAATTGGACGCTTAAAGGCAAATTGGATGGTTTCACCCACCCAATTGGATTCCCGGAGGGTATTAGGGTCTATAGGTAGCTTCTCTCCATTTTTTGTTTCCGGGTAAAAAAAAATCAAAAATTGGCAAAATTGAAGGCTATAATATAATACACGCTTTTTGTCAATTTCAGAGGTTTCGGGACCTGGTGTCGAAAAGTATCGAGATACCATGGGATACATCCCAAGGTCATATAATGTCGTTTGGAACCATATATGATCATGATATGTTGCCATAAATGTCCGTGGTAGCCTCGAGTTTATGAAATCGGTGCAAGTTGTAAACGGGTAAATTGACATTTTGAAGGTATATTGGATGGTTTTACCCACCCAAATTGACTCTCAGGGTGTATTAGGGTCCATGAGAAGCATCTCGACAATTTTTATTTCCGGTTCTTAAAAAGTGAAAAAATTGTCCAAAATTGAAGGCATACACGATTTCGGGTTATTTTTTGACATTTTTTTCGAAAATTGAACTGAATACGTGGGGTGACTCCCAAGGTCATATAAGCTAGTTTGAAACCATAACTCTCGACCTCATTTTACAGGTTAAGGCATGTGTAGACATAAACTAGATCTATCTTTTTGGATGACATAATCAAATTTCAAGAGTTTTGTCAAACTTATACATTATGCCTTATAAATGACTGTTTATGTTTAAAACACAATTTTGAGGTTCACATCTACAGATGTGGGAAGATTAGACTTTAATGACCTTCGCAGGTAAGCACGTAAGCTGGTTTCTAGGAATGTGTTAATAGTATTCCTAGCTAATTTAGCTTGAGAGCAGTATATAAACACCACTAGAGAGCCTTTGATGGTCATTATTAGGTCTTGTGTGCTAGTGGGCTTAACAAAGTTGCTATGTCCTATTGACTTAGGCCCAAGGAGTGGTCTATTTTCTTTTCAGGCCCAAAACAGGTTGGAATATTTTGATACCCAAACATAGAGTACTACTTATTACTTCATACAAGTATATAATTATGAAAATGTCATGTTGATATAACTGCTTTGCTTTAATATATTAAAGTGATAAACTGCGGCTCCCTTCCATCCATATGTTAGTCTTATTAAACTTAAGATTCTTTGTATTAATAATTTCTAATAAGATTCTTATTAAACATTTAATCCAAGGCCAACTAGTACATGTCTTGTTAAGACAGTAAATAATTCAATGTATAGTATGTGTTTTTTGCTTGATGAATAGCATACAAAAAATTGGTTTTTTATTTTATTTTATTTTATTTTTTTTATTATAAAGTTAGTCTGAATCAAAGATTGAATTACTATCTTTAACTCCTGATACCAAACTCTTCATTATTATACAATTTCATACGTGTGTATATTAGTATGGAATGATCGAACTCTATATAGTATATACTATATATACTAAATAAATTAGTACTTTTGCTAGTCTCTAAATCATTCTCTAGACGATTTAATCATAGCAAAGATCAAATTAATAATTATTAATAGTTAAACAATAATAATTAAGTTTATAGATCTTCATCAATAATGGTATCATCTATAACCAATCCTAATCGGAAAGGCATCAATCTAGATCTGTTTATATGAATCATAACCGTGGGCGTAGCACAATCTACAAGCTTCCAAAGATCAAGTGCTATATAATTACGAGTAAATTGTACTCCGTATATTCTAATAGAAGTGCACACTAGTTCTAGAGAAATGTCAAATGACAACTTAGTATTTACTATATTGTGGTTAAGAATTATTCCAGCTTGTTGGTCATTGATTAAACCCTTTTACACATGGTCACGTTATAAAAATACAAAAGACCCCTCTAATTATTCCTAAAGCTGACCAAAAATCGTCACTATAAAAGAAATTATTAGTGACTTCTCTAATTCCCACCACAATAACCCTCCCAATCAGAAGCCATCTTAATTATAAACAATTTTAAAGCTTGCTTATTAGTGACTTCTTCTAGCTAAGATGGCTTCAAAAGCATTAGCATCAACTTCCCTCCTACTATGCCTAAACCTTGTGTTGTTCACTTTAGTAAGCTCTACATACGTACCTTGCCCTCCGTCACCCAAAGCCCCATCAGGCCAGCACGGAGGACACCATGGCGGTCACCACGATGGCCACCATGATGGCGGTTACCACGGAGGAAGTCCAGCAACACCAACACCAACAACGCCAATAATAATGCCACCGGCAAGTCAAGCCAAGTGCCCAATGGATGCCCTAAAGTTGGGTGTGTGCGCCAATGTGTTGGGTGACTTGATCCACCTAGTGGTAGGAACCCCACCAAAAACACCATGCTGCCCTCTCATCGGAGGGTTGGTTGACCTTGAGGCGGCAGTATGTCTATGCACTGCAATCAAGGCTAACATATTGGGCATTAACCTTGACATCCCTCTATCTTTAAGCTTGTTGCTTAACTATTGTGGCAAGAAAGTGCCCACTGGCTTCCAATGTCCTTGATTCATATAACCTATTCATTTCACGACTTAGCATGCATTATTATTTGGTGATAGATTTACGTACCATCAAGCTTAATTAGCTTGATTTTAACTTGATTTGTGTAATTTCAAGGCCAGTGAATTTTGTTTTGCATTAATTATCAGATCAATATTTATATTCATGCATGCTTTGTTGTTTGATTTAATCGATTATTGGTGATTCTGTTCTTAATCACCTTCATTATTGATTCCCTGTTTGGTGTAATCTCTTTCTTGCATGATTTATAAAAGTTGAGTTTAATTTCTTTAAATAATATTTACAATAATGTTTAGTCAAAGAGAATAAAGGGGTGGAGGGTCCCCTGCTTAGCTTGCTCTTCCTGCATGCCTATATTATTCGTATAATTATATTTTGGCTTACTTAGGACTATGAGTAGTGTAGGAGTTTTCGACTCTCTATTCCCACTTCCCAGTACAAGCATTGGTTATATTTAGCAATTTCTTTCAAAAAACATAATGATATTAAATGTGTATTAAATAATTTTGAAATCAATGTTCATGATAATACAACTCCATTTTCAAAGTATAAATTCATGATACTACATTAAAAACAAACATAATGAAAATTTAACAAAATGCATGTATAAATCATGGATTAACGTAACATTAAGAATATCCTCTTCAATCCCTATCTTTTTAGAATTTTAGTTGTACGAGTATTAGTTATGGTACTTAGCAATTTAGCATTGCACCATTAATGTGTCATTCAGTGAAAATAATGTTTCGTATGAAACTCTAGTTTTATAAGTTGCCTGTGTAATATCATAATTGCTCAATTATGCTAATAGTCACACAATTAAAAGAAAAAAAATTATATTTGCTGAAAATGAAATACAAATAAGAGTATATAAAACGTTGAAAGCCATGAAACTTGGTGTAATCGGATGACACTGACAAATCTGAAATAAAAGCTTTAATAATTAATCACGGATTGTAATGTTTTATCTATAAAGCCAAAGTCACGGATTGAAAAGTTGAGCATCGAAGTTATCAAAGCAAAAACAAGAAAACAACATTCCAAAAGTTGCAGATTAAATACCAAAACAAAGTACAGTACATCCATGGATCAAACTTAGTAGCTTGGTTGTCCTCCATAATCAAATTTGGTACACATTTCACATTCACTTTGATAATTCATATACGTGTTCGTTTTTGGAAAATATTCTAGTACGTGTTTTTACGTACTCATCTGCATGCGATCTCGAGCTTATAGTCACGGGTTACTCAAACCAATTTACCTAGTACGGACTAGTATATATAATACTGTATATATTCCCCAAGATATACTCATCCATCATACATCTTCCTATCTTTACATAGTTAAGTTTATGGTTTTCAAAAAAAAAAAAAAAAAAACATAGTTAAGTTTATTACAATCCCCAAGCTAACCATGGGGAAAACACAACTTACAGCTATGTTTTTTATCTACATGTTTTGCATGCTTATATCTTTGCCTCCCATTTACGCTTGTGGTTATTGTGACAAGCCCAGTCACCCACCTTCCGGCCACCCTCCTTCACGTCCAAGCCCCTATCCTCGTTCACCGCCTCATCATGGGGGTAAGCCACCGCATCATGGAGGTAAGAAACCACCCCATCACGGAGGAAGTGGTGGGCCTAAGGTATCACCACCCGTGGTTGTACCACCCATAATCATGCCACCAATCATCATTCCAGCTCCTCCTGTTGTTACACCTCCTCCAGTGATAATCACTCCCCCGTCTGTTCCATGTCCTCCAGGTGCTCCTGGGTCTCCTGGAATGCCTGGCCCTCCTGGTACACCTGGAACTCCTGGATCTCCCGGTAAAGGTGGAGGTGGTGGTAGTCATGGAGGAGGAGGCTATACTCCACCTGGAAAGGGAGGAGGAGGCGGTGGTGGATCTCCTCCTGGACAAGGCGGCGGAGGAGGTAAATCCCCTCCTGGACATGGTGGAGGTGGGACCCCACCGGGAACAGGAGGAGGAGGATATGGTCCACCTGGTGGTGGAAGTCCAGGGATTATTCCAAAAACATGTCCAATAGATGCATTAAAACTGGGGCTATGCTTGGACGTTCTAGGAGGTTTGGTGCATATTGGATTAGGAGACCCAGTCAAGAATATGTGCTGTCCAGTTTTACAAGGTTTGCTAGAGTTAGAGGCGGCATTATGTCTATGCACAGCAATAAGGCTAAAGCTTCTCAACTTGAACATATACATTCCGCTTGCTCTCACTGTTCTTGCAACATGCGGATTTAATCCTCCATCTGGTTTCATTTGTCCACCTATCTCTTGATTAGATAAACTTCATCTTGAGGATTCTATCTTACATTTCTTAGGAAATTCACTATTTTCGTTCTACTTCGTATGTATGTGTTGTGTTATCACTCTCCTAACTCGGAGAAAAAGTGTACGTGTGTTAATTAAGATCTTGTAATGTTTTCTATGTTCGTTGTACGTTGGTCTTACTCAGCTTCTATAGTTGCTAGTAGCAGCTTGCTACTTAATTATATAGCTGGTTGACCTTTTCTTTTTGTCTGGAAATGCATGATGAAATTAGTTTAGTTTACAACAAGTTTCGATCCTTTATTATTGTTAAAAATCGATCATCTCGAGTAATACCTATTTTTTTTTTTACATGTAATCTATCATGAGACGTTAGTTACATATTGATAGAAGGTTGTAGTAAAAGAGGTAATATAATGCACACATACCTGAGGTATGTCGCTTTGTATGATTACAAGTTTTGTTACAATATACCTGTAGTTAATTTCACCACTTCAAATTTAATTTAGATACTGCAGAAAATGCATTAATATATTTATCTTTTGGTTATGTTATAATTGTAGTGATTGATAAAGGTATTAATAATACACTATACATCCTTTGATCCTAATTTCTATGCAAAGTACAAAGTATAAGTTACTAATAGAATTATTAGAAAGTGCCTGTGCCTGTGCCTGTGCCTGTGCCTGTGCCTAGTATATCATTTTGTAAACCTATGTACTTGTAGTATGTACGTAAACATAATATATGTTTTTAAAAATTAAGTAGATTTTTTTTTTTTTATAATTATGGATTAATTAAAAATGAGTGATGTAGGCATATATACTTTATAATATTTATTTATTTATTTATTTTTTATTATTGTGATTTTGTACCATATCATATTACAATAGCAATGATGTTTACAATTACTAAGGATATTAATGTTAACTCGTGAACAAATCTCTTATAGCTATCATACACATAGACGATATGCATAGTATGGAAGAATGACAAAATATATCAGAGTCAATTACCATACTATAAACCTCAATATACTTCGTATGTTGTTTACTAGGTTAAGAGATTAACTTTGACCTGTTTAAATTTACAATCATTTTTATCATGCACCCAATCTAAAAATAACATACTGTTCCAAGAAAAGTTAACCTAGTAGTAATTCATGATGAATGTAGTACAATATAATACTTACGACTTACGTACTTCCTTCACCCTAGAATTATTGAATTGTTTGATTGACTTTTTTTTTTTTTTTTTACTATACTAACTTTAATCATTAGTTTTTAGTCATTTCTTATCGAAATCAAATTTTATCATCATAAAATAAATACTTCATATGTTGTTAGATCTCTATTAACATATATAAGTAGCATAATAACAATTTTATATAATTTTTTGCAAAATTTTAATTATATCAAACTATTGAAGTATATTTAAGGTCAATAGGAAAAAAAAAACCTATAAGCAATAATGAAAAGAACATGCACAATTGAATAATTTGAACTTAAAATTCTTGTTATTGGAGTTTTATTTTAGCTGTTCAAAAAGATACTACTGCCAAACAAGGTATTAAAGTTACTCATCAGTCATCACATGTTATATAAAAACATATTGTTAAACAAGGACGAAATAAAGTTACCCATTCAATAAAGTCTAATTAAGCTACAAGCTAGATTCTGTGTGCATAATTTAAATTAAAAATATTATAGCATGAAAATTATAGATTGTTTAATTATCTACTCCGTAATTCTTTTAGGGAGTATTAGGTATTCTAGCTCATCATTCGATGATCAAATATATAATTGTATAATTGTAGGCTAGGTAAAATTTTACAGGAATTTACAAAGTATCTACAGAATGTATGCTTAACATATACGAAGTAATTAATTAGAGAATAATTTATAGAGTAAGCGACCATTATTGGTTGCATAAATGGAAGAAGAAGAATATGAATAGTGAAAAGCTTGCAATATAGATAGTCCAAAATAATCTGACACAATTAGTAATATTATCATACAATTGATATAAACAATGGGGTTTTGCATTTTAGGGACACAAAACGTGTCCATATATCTAGTTACCCACTAAGGCGTGATTTAATTTTTGTAGAAAATGATGACACTAGCAATGAGCACATCCACCTTACATTAGACAAAATTTCAACATTAATTTGCGGATATATAATATTTCCAGCTTATGGATCATTTTATTATAATCATCCGATTAAAGTATTCTTTGTGTAAGGTTTATTATCTGACAAAAATGGTTCACGGGAAGGAACTGTTTCTATAATTGACTAAAATACAATCATTAGTTTAATTACTCGCTGAATATTATAAGTCACAATACCTAACCTCGATCTGTTAATTCTGTAGGGTTAAGGTTACAGTATAATAAAGCTAGAAACTAAATTCTAAATGTGTAATTCTTCTTTATTTTTAATTTTTTTTTTTTGAAGGAAAGGGGTCTATATATGTAATTTTTGAATAAAGAGTAAGCTGATTTAATTTTATTAAGATGGTAAAGCACATTTCCATTATATTTTGTTTTTGCTTTACAAGAGCTAAAGGAATTATAATGACTAAATAAGTAGTAGAGTAGTGTGTATAGTGATGTAGACTTAATTTGATTCTAAGTGTCTTAATATTATTATAAAATTTGACCTAATCATATGTGAGTACTACTAGTAAATCTTACTATATAAATTAGATTATCCAATTTATTTGCTCGATCATAACCTAAATATTACGATTATAAATAACTAAACAAGTTTTCAGAACTAATCAGTACCTGAGTAAGATGAGAAAGTTATAACCTAAATGTAAAATAAAACCAAAGATCTCAATTAGGAGCACACAAGAAAAAGAAGCTCGATAAAACGTGTATTTTTAATGCTTTGTTTGATGTGCTTTAATTTAATTTAAAAAAGACTTGTCATGTCTTCATTTTTTTACCTTAATATGATTTTTAGAGTCACGGGCTAAACTGTGCTATAAACAGCCAACTTCAACTAATGGCGCATGCACCAATATAGCATAAGATATTGCCTTGTCGTAATAATTTAATCTTGCAATGCAGTCTAACATGTTTTTATTAATTAATAAAAGAATACTTGCTTCTTAATTAAATTCTCCAGTGTTAAGCAAACACTGCTTGCTAATATGGTGGATTATATCAAAATACATGATAAGAGTAACGATCATATTGAGATAACGATGTACTCTTGCAATAATTTATATGGATGAGTATTATTCATCATCTAGGAGTAGAATAAAGTAGTCTTAATCTTCTCACTAATTAATCTAAAGTCTAATTGAACAATAAGCTCGTGGCAATTGATGTGTTGAGTCAAATAATCGTAAATATTAGTCAGAAATCATGGCCGTTGAACAAATACAGCAAACAAAAAGTAACCCGTGAGTTATATATGCATGAGATTACAAAACAAGCTGTATTATTACATGAGAATTGAGATCCATAACATGGGCTGAGGGTTCCAGCAATGTAAACTAACAATATAGTATCGATTTTTGTGAATATTTTTGAAAAGATGAACTTGGGTCTGTCTCATGGCTTGTCTGAGATAAGACTCATAAGAGCTGGCTGAATCTCATCACCATCTCTTACCGTCTTATTTTTGTCTCCCTTTATAAAATTTTAATTTGTTTTTGGTGTTTAAAGAGCCACAAGGACGGAGATGAGAATCAATCCCAGAATCACTTGGAATTGGGGGAAAAGCTCTAACTACTTCAGCTATCCCTCATTCTCTTATAAAATTTTAAAACACACATGTACTGAGTGCTAAAATGAATTAATTAAAATGCACTACTCATCCTTTCATGGAAATTTCATTGTAAGGCAAAACCCCTAGTTATTACAAGTACCACATATATACAGAGTATATAATAGTGAAAAACGTATAATTATTAATGTGTCTTTTAGTCCGATTTTCATCAATAACAAATACTTTACAAGTTTGGATATTAAGGCCTTGTTTAGTTCACCTTATTTTTACCTATTTTAGAAAAAATAAGTTCAAATCAGCTAAGAAAAAATAAGTTTTGATCAGATCATCGTTTTATGTGCAACTTTTTATCGCTAAATATCTTTAATTTCAAATTTCATAATGAAAAAAATTATAAAGATAAAATATAAATAAAATACACATTATTACGAATCTAACAAAACCTCACTTGATATATTTTTACCGAATAGATTATCGTATATATAAAGGTTAAAGTTTAGTCAAATATGACATTCAGATCAGACCAGACCAGACCAAATCAGATAAGTTTAAATAAGAAAAAATAAGGTGAACCAAACAAGCCCTAATTTGCAAATAAACATTTTAAACTCAAGCCTACAACGGACATTTATGACAACATATAATGGTCATATATGCTTCCAAATACCATTATATGACCCCGAGATGTATCCCCTAGGATCCCAAGACTTTTCGACACCGGGCCCGAAAACCTCCAAAATTCCTCAAAAACCGTAGATAATAGCCTTCAATTTTGGAATTTTTTGACTTTTTTTTCGTTTGAAAATAAAAATTGACGAAATGTTTACCATGATCCCTAATACACTACGGGGGTCCAATTGAGTGGGTGGAACCGTCCAACGTGCCTTTAAACGGCCAATTTATTACCGTTTTAAAACTTGCACCGATTTCATTAACTCAAGCCTACCACGAATATTTATGACAACACATAATGATCATATATGGTTCTAAACGACATTACCTGACCCCGAGATGTATCCCCGAGATGTATGCCTTCGAATTTGGATTTTTTTTTCTTTTTTTTCGACCGGAAATAAAAATTGCCGAAATGTTTACCATGGTCCCTAATATCCTCCAGAAGTCCAATAGGGTGGGTGGAAGCATCCAATTTGCCTTTAAACGACTAATTTATCGGTTTACAACTTGCACCGATTTCATAAACTCAAAGCTACCACGAACTTTTATGATAACATATAATGATCATATATGGTTTCAAACGACATTATATGACCCCAAGATATATCCCCTAAAATCTCAAGGCTTTTTGACACCGGGACCTAAAACCTCCAAAATTTCTCAAAAAGCGTGAATATTATATTAGGCTTCAATTTTGGAATTATTTTGAATTTTTTCATCGGAAAATAAAAAATTTCCAAAATCAATACTTGAAAATAGCTCGTTTCCGACGGAAAAATTCTGTCGGAAGCACCCCAAAATCCGTCGAAAATGGCATTTCCGACGGAATTCCGTTGGAACCGGTTGTCAGAAAAGCCTTTGTAGGAAAAACGGCATCTTCCGTCGGAAACCTTTCTCCGACGAACTTTTCGACGGAATTCCAGCGTTGGAACAGATTTCCTGGCTCCAGAAAAGTCCGTCGCAACTTCCGACCGAATTGTGTCCGTCAGAAAGTTGCGACGGAATTTCCGTCGGAAAATATTTCAATTTTCTTAAAAAAAAAAACACGCCGCACCACCAGGGCACAGCGTGTCACCACCCTATCCCCAACTGCAGACCACCAATGCCACTACCCCCACATCAGCCTTACCCTAAACACACCACCACTATCCTCACCCTTACCCAAACCACACCACCACTCACCCTAACCCAAACCAGACCCACCACTAACCCGATCCAGACCCACCCCTAACCCTAAACGACCATTTCCACCACCCTAACCCACCCAAATCAATATCTACCACCAAAACAAACCCAAATCTACAACAAATCTGGCCATACCACCACCACAAAAAGCCACCACCACCGCCAAAATCCATGAATTTCAACCAAAAAAAAAACCCCACGAAATTCAACCAAAAAAAAAAACCCACGAAATTCAATCAAAAAACAAAAAAAAAAACCACGGATTTCAACCAAAAAACAAAAAAAAAAAACACGAATTTCAACCAACAACCCAAAAAAAAAAAATTAAAACCAGAAAACATACCTTAACAACCGAAGCTTCCAATTTCAACCCGAATTTGGTTTAATACGACTAAATTCGACCCTGAAACCTCTAGATCTAGAGATTTCATGGTCGATTTTGACCGTATAAGCCATTAATATGACATAGCAAGAGAACCATTAATATGAAATAGCAAGAAATATGGTCGAATTGAGAAAGATGAGGAGGAAAGAAGATGAGGAGAAAATAAAAAAAAAAAAGAAAAAAAAAAGGAGAGAGGAGACCGTGAGAACTGAGAAGTGAGGAAGAGGAGAGGAGCAGAAACTCAAAGAAGATGAGAGGATAAGAGAGGAGAGGAGAGAGAAATAAAAGAGAGGCGGAGAGAAAAGAGAGGATAGAGAAAGAGAAATTAGAATATAAAGAGGGAGGGGCGCCGTTTTTAATTAGGGTTTGGGTTTTTTATTTATTTTTTTTTTTATTATTTTTTTTTTAAAAAAAATCCGTCGGAAACTTATAATATTCCGTCGGTAACTTTAATTTCCGACCGAATATTCCGTCGAAATTACCAACGGAATAAAATCCGTCGGAAATCACTTAATTTATGACGGAATATTATTTCTGTCGTAAATTTCCGACGGATTTTCGACGGAAATTCCAAAGTCGTCGCAAATTTCCTACGGAAAATAAATCCGTCGGAAATTAAGTGTTTTCCGACGGATTTCCATGTCCGTCAGAACCGTTCCGTCAAAATTAGACATTTTTCTTGTAGTGAATATTTACCATGGTCCCTAATACCCTCCGAGGGTCCGATTGGCCGGTTAGAACCATCCAATTTGCCTTTAAACGACCAATTTACCAGTTTATAATTTGCACCAATTTCATTACTCAAGCCTACCACGAACATTTGTGACAACATATAATGATCATATATGGTGCTAAATGACATTATATGACCCCGAGATGTATCCCTAAAATCTTAATGCTTTTCGATACCGGGCCCCGAAACATTCGAAATTTCTCAAAAAATCCTTCAATTTTGGAATTTTTTGACTTTTTTTCGTCCAGAGATATTGCCGAAATGTTTTACATGGTCTGAATATCCCCCGAGAGTCCAATTGGGTGGGTGGAACCATCTAATTTGCCTTTAAATGACCAACTTATACCGATTTACATATTGCACCGATTTCATTAACTCAAGTGTACCACGAACATTTATGACAACAAATAATGAACATATATGGTTCCAAACAACATTACATATTCCTCATATATATTCCCTACAATTTCAAGAATTTTTGACACCAGGTTCTAAAGACTCAAATATTTCTCAAAAAGCTTGGATCTAGCCTTCAATTTTTAACTTTTTGAATTTTTTCGCATGGAAATAAAAATTGAGGAAATGTTAACCATGGTCCCTATTACCCTCCGGGAGTCAAATTGGGTGGGTGGAATCATTCAATTTGCCTTTAAACGACCAATTTACCGGTTTACAACTTGCGCTGATTTCATGAATGATAAAACCAAGAAAATGATTTAGATTTTACATTCGGAGGCCGTCATTCTTTCTAAGCAAATAGTAATATATTATTCTTTAAAGATGAGCAATATGAGAATCATATTTTTTAAAAAATGATATAGATCTCTATTGTAATCTAAATGATCAACAAATACCATAGTATATTTGATCATTTTAAGGAGTGTGTTTGGGTCTATTAATATTCCTTTACATAAATGTTCATTTATATATTAGTAAACGGTCATTCACATATTAATAAACGATTTAGAATTCTAATATTGTCTAGTTTTGGCCACCTTCTTCATATATTTTCTATAGGTCTAATTAATTTAGTTAATATTGAAAACTATATATTTTATATGCTTGTTTGAATTTTAACACTTGTTCATGTTCATATTGAAAGATGTTCATTTATATTTTAATACTTGTTCATTCTCGTATTGAACATGTATGATCATTTTCTAACAAATTTTTACATTTTGGAATCTACTAAATAAATGCTTATTTCTAATAATTTATGAATTCATTCTAATATTGGTAGCTATGTGATACAAAACATCTTATTCATGCATTCGATATTTTTAATATTGATTGCTCTTCCTTATGAATGTAAACTAGCCATTTATGATCAATAATACAAAACTCAATGCTCATATAAGAAAAGCAATATGTTCATAAACAAAAATCTAAATGTTCAAACAACTTCATAAATCGTGATAGTCTTTTCGATTTCCCGAACAATAATATTTCGTACCCTAAAAAAAATAGAGTGGTAAATTAGGACTGATAAATCTGTAGGGGGGGGGAGAGTAGAGTCCCAAAACATGGCTTTTCACTATTTTCATAAAACTAACCAAAAAGATAATTTAAGATGAAACCGGGTAAAGTAGTGATCAAACCAACACTTATCTTACAATTCATTCTTAAATTAAAATTATTAATGTTCATTTTCATATTGATAAATGTCCAAAATACTTTCATATTGATATATGATCATTTCATTTAATAAATGTATACATTGTGATATTTGATTGTTATATTGTTTGTTAGATTACATTTAAAATTATTCTTACAGCTATTATCTTTTATAGGGTATCAACTAAACCAGTCAGGTTACAAGTACATTATTTTTCAATAGATCATAGTGAAAGTAAAAATATTTTGTCCAATTTTATCTTAATGAGATTCAATGTTTTTATATCCAATTATGTACATATTACTCTTAATTAACTACCCTCCTTTACTCCAACTACACCAACCCTAATTGCATTAATAAGTAAGAATTCTAAATGTTTACATACGTTGTTTATTTGTTCAATCAAGTCGAATCTCTTACAAGAATTGAAAAGCGAGTACTCCTCTATTTTACATTATAAGCAACAATTAAATTTTTTTAATATCTCACAAAAAAATACCCAACTATTTTACATATATATTACACTTGCACTACTGATTTGATGAGTGATGACACATTATTATAAAAATTGAAGAAGTACAACTAGTTTGAGCAATTTGTGATATGATACCAATTCCAACCATATTGTCTCACAAAAGACCAAAACTATGTCCCCTTTTATATGTGTTTTGCCAGCTAAATTTCTAAGCTCACACATGCATGCTATAGATGCAACTCGATCTTTTTTTGGTTTATTTTATATAGAGAAATTAAACTATACACTAAAATGTTGTCTAAATTCGTTCTTACAATGTCATGCATAAAACCTATAAAATACCACCCCTTTAACATCATTCTCTTCATCTCTACGTATACTAATTAAGTAGAGCTATATGAAACAATAATAACATGGCATCTACATTATTCTCCAAATCCCTAGTCCTTTTCCTTGCCCTCAATCTTCTCTTCTTCTCCCTCGTCTCCGCTTGTGGAGAATGTGGAGGTGGAAGCGGTTACCCTAAGCCCAACCCCAAACCCAGCCCCAAACCTAGCACACCATACCCTGGAAGCGGCGGAACCCCAGGTAGGGGTTACCCAGGATCTGGAGGCACCCCCTCAACCGGAGGTGGAGGTGGAGGTGGAGGAGGAGGAGGAGGAGGAGGAGGAGGAGGTGGTGGTGGTGGAGGCGGGGGTGGAGGCTCATCAATTGGGGCTTGCCCAACTGACGCCCTTAAATTGGGTGTGTGTGCAAATGTGCTAAGTGGTTTGCTCAACCTTAACATTGGTACACCACCAAAGACACCATGCTGCCCCCTCATTCAAGGGCTCATCGATGCCGAGGCTGCTGTATGCCTTTGCACTGCCATTAGGGCTAACATCTTGGGCATCAACTTGAACATCCCTCTCTCTCTTAGCTTGCTTGTTAACTACTGCGGCACCAATGTTCCTCGGGGCTTCCAGTGTCCTTAATAATTAAGTGACTAGCTTTAATATGCCATATACCATCTTACGTGGCCGTGTCCATTATTATTTTGACGAGTCGTCTTAATCTATAACGTCTAGCTTGATCTAATATGATGTACTACTATTGTAGTTGACATCAAAAAAATGAATAAGCGATGGCATAATGGTTAACTTCTTGTTTCCATTTAATTGCCACATTGCAGTATAGTACTTCGTATTTAATTACCATTTATCAATTTTTACTATTGTGTATGAGTATCATACTATGTGCTATTAATTGTTTTGAATACGTCTCTTCCCAAATGAGGAACATAAATAGATTGTTCTTCTATACTTAATAGACACTTCACCTATGAGATAACACCCTCAGTCGGCCCAAATAATACTAATAAGGGTGAAAGCAAATTTCACATGTTTAGGAATTGAAATTGGTACAACAATACAAAATTACAACCACCGCGTACCCCAAAGGAAGTAGAAAATTAGGCACGGGTAGTGGTGGTCATTGATAACTCTTTGGAACTTCATTTCCACATTTGCTAATTACGATTAGAAGAATAAGATCAATGGGGATGTTAAGGGGACCAATGTTTAAGATATTGGCATGGACTGCAGTACAAAGACAGATGGAAGCATCAAGCTTGATAAGGTTACTTACACTCCAATATCATTATTTGCACATACATTTAACTAAGGGTCTCTTTGGGGCATGTTTCAAGAGATTGGGGTACAAATGTAGAGCAGGCCGATCGATCCACTCCAAAAAATTTCAATGCGAAAAAAAGAAGTTATCTTGAGGGCCATTATTAACGCTTTTAATTTTGGATGATAGTTAACCACATTAGAACTTTAATAATGTACTTTATGAAACGTTAACAGAACTGAATTATTGACGACTAAATATTTGTTCAATCAATTATTATTCCAACCAGTCATTTATATAGAATGCAAAGGGAGTAGCCCTTTGTAACAATCGGATTTTAGTAGCACCAAATGCAAATTTACCAATTAGTTGTAGTAGTCTGGGATTGTTGGCATTAGCACTGATTTTCGAGTTTAATTGATTTCAAAAATTTTGGGAATAATTGATTTTCGAAATTTTGGGGTTAATTGATCATCGAAAATTTTGGGGTTTAACTGATTTTCGAAATTTGTGGTTAATTCATCTTCAAAAATTTTGGGGTTTAGTTGATTTTCGAAAATTTTGGGGTTAATTGTGTTTCGAATATTTTGGATTTTTTCGGTTATTTATTTATTTATTTTATTATTTTGATTTTTGAGTTCGTACATTATATTATGAGTTCACAAGTGATGCATGAGTTTTCTGTTTTTTTTTCGCATTTTTTGTGAGTTTTATTGATTTCTGGGTTTTAATTGATGCACAAGGATTCAAGACTTTGATTTTGGAATTTTTTTTTTGATGCTGTAATTTATTTATTTATTTATTTACTTACTTTTGTTCAATAACAATTTAACGTTGAATTTTATTGTATGATTATAATTCTTTTTTTTTTTTTTTTTTTTTTTGTATTGTACAATAACAGTTGAATATAATGTTATATTTCATTGTTTTTTGAGCTTGTGTGATTATTGTTAATATTATTTTCTGCTAATTTTAAGTGAAAAAAGATAAAAAAAAAAATTATTTTTTTGGACATTTTTGGCACCAGTTAACCGGTGCCAAAAGTAGGCAATTATATTACTTTTGGCACTGGTTAACCAGTGCCAATAACAAGTATTCCCACCGGTTTAAACCGGTGGCTTTTCATGCGATTATTGGCACCCACTAAATACTCATCGGTTCAAAACCGGTGGCATTGAGGGGTTTATTTTGAACCGGTGCCAATTTCGTTTTTTCTACTAGTGAAAATTACCTAAAATAGTTAACCCGTAGTTACAATTGTTCAAGGAAGATGTAAAAAGCTCAAGACATCTAACAAATATAAGCGATCTTTAGCAAAACAGAATAGGTAAGAAAAAATATAATAATGTATGCTTTTGTTTGATTTGTCCCATTACTTATTTAAAGGTTTATTTATGCTGAAAAATGTAATTTGAAAACTCTATGCATGATTTATATGTAGCAGATTTTTTGGGGAAATTTTAGTGATTTAATTGGAGCGTCAAATAGCCATATTGGTGGGCATGGCAATCAACTGAATGAGTTTGAAATTGATAAACTTATTAGAGATCAACAATTATTGAGTCACCTAAGCAAATTTGGCAATTTCTTATGTGTACATTACTTGATAGAATTATTATGATCTTACTCATCTACTCTTATTGATAAATACAAAAATTGAAATAATTGTAAATTTGTATTCGTGTTCATATGTTTAGAGGTCTTTTTGGGTAAAAATAAAAAAAAATAAAAAAATAATAAAATTAAAGTTGTTTAACTAGCTAGTTCTCTTAGGTAAGTATATTTGTGGCTCTATTTCTTGTAAACAACAGACTAGAGCAATCCCACCCTAAAGCATCCGTATCATCATGATTGAATCATGAATATATATATAAAATCATTGGAGCTGTATATATATGTACGTTATTAAATTTAGGTGAATGGTCACAAAACTTACAAGAAATAGAGACAAAAGCCAACCAATAGCCAAATGCTTAGCTTGCTATATTATGACATAGATATTATTATTATTATTATTATTATTATTATTATTATTATTATTATTATTATTATTATACCTTCGGATCGTATTATATGCAACTTTGGAATTTTTTATATCTCACAAATAATACCCCAAAGTTGCATATAATACGATCCGGAGGTAGTATTAATAATGCATGGCTGGGCAATTTTGATTCTATATTACACAAAGAAACAAAACATTTAAGCACTTACTCACATACATTTACGTAGTGTACTTTAGTCCTTTATTCATCAACATCAAATGATCGTACAAAAACAAATGAAACATAAAGCGTGCTTACTTTCAACAAAGCACAATATTACACCATGCCAAATAGATGAGAAAATCATTCAACAAACCACTCTGCATAGTATTAAATGCCACAAACACACACTCGCACACGTACTTTAAGCTTTAATTTAAGCACAATTCATGACGTACTAGAACAAATTTGTTTGATTAGAAGACATCATATATATGATCCCCTAATTAATTGATCAAGGACACTGGAAGCCCCTGGGAGCTCTCCTTCCACATGCATTGAGAAGCAAGCTTAGGTTAACAGGCAAATTGAGGTTGATGAGGTTCAAAACATTAGCTCTAATCACGGTACATAGGCATACTGCAGCCTCAAGGTCTGCAATGCCTTGGATCAAGGAGCAGCATGGCTGAACTGGAGGAGTACCTATTTGAAGGTTAAGAAGGTTTCCAAGTAAGTTGGCACACACCCCTAGTTTTAAGGTGTCAAGAGGACATTTTCCCCTAGACGATCCCCCACTGCCACCTCCACCTACAATGCCTCCACCACCTCCACCTCCACCTCCACCTCCTCCTCCACCTCCACCTATAATGCCTCCTCCCCCTCCACTTCCGCCGGAAGGTACAGAGGGAGTGTAAGGAGAATAACTTGCATCAATGGTGGCGGAGATCATAAGAAGGTTGAAAGAGAGAAAGAGGGCTAGTGCTGAAGTGGTCTTAGAGGAGGCCATTGTGTTACAAGTTAAATTTGGGTATGATTATTATTATTAGAGAAAGGTTTGGGATGATATAAGAGGAAGGTTATAGAGGGGTTTATATAGGCTTATTAAAGGCATTAATTATTTCATGAATAGAGTTGTATTATTTATTGTAGGTAAACAACATTATTCTCTCATCAAGTTATTTTTTATTTTGGAGGCAATAATTAATTCCATGTTAGTATATTTGAGTTATATATACTTTGTACGTGTTAACAGTATTACATCATATTCATTTATGTCAAATAGGCTATCCTTACTTCCCTTCCCTACTTTATAAAAAGTGGGAGATTGTTCTTATGAATAGTGCACGGACTATTATACCCTATTTTTTTACCTCCTTACTCCCAAGTGTAATTTTGTAATTTTTCTTAAGACCCATCAATTAATTAGAAATTAAATGAAGAATGGAATAATAAAGTTTAAAATTTTCTATATATAATTTAAAGGGGGCTATGATTTTATTACACAACAACATTAGTCACTAGGCAACGAAATGTTGTTGCTTTATGTGGGATTTTTTTTTTCTAAATTTTGTGAAGGTCGAAATAAACGACTTACACATAATTGTGTTTAAGGACATTGAAACTAATGAAATTAATCTATGATTGTGTCGAACTAGATGTACTAAAAAGAAAGGAAACCAAATTGACTACAGTGAAAAGGGAAAGAAAGCAAGAAGGGATTCAAGGGAATTATTAATTAAGGGAACTATGGTTGCAAAGGGTTAATTTACTGCAAAATGAAATTGCTAGAAGTATTTTGTCCGAGTTCATAATCTGAATATTTGTTAATTTTTTAGCATTGTGAAATCATGTGTATTTGAATACTATAATGTATTAATGCCGCTCCATCATGTACTGCTATATGATGTACCTTTTAGTTTCCAAATAGGTCAATGAGCGCAAAAGATATATTAAAATCATAAATTCCTATATAAAGTGTTAGCACGTTGTGTTTTTTCACTACTTAAATAAATAAGGGTGCAGCATGTTGTATCACATTTCCAAGAATATTCTACAACATAAAAGACAAGAGCCTTCGGTAGCGGACGATTAACTCCATGTGAAGTGCAAACACAAGGCAAGAAAAATTAAGGCTAAGCAATAGAGAGATATTCCTCTATAAGTCCATTAACTCCTAGTCAAGTGCAAACACAAGCCAAGAAAAATTAAGCCAAAAGGGCTGGCCACCCCGCGCGCAACGTGCGCTTTGGCTGCCTAGTTTAGATAAAATTCTATTAGGGTGCGTTTATTTGGTTGGATCATTTGGAATTAGTTAAAATGGAGTTAGAATCCATTTCATCTAATTTTTGTTTGGTTGAGTTTTTTTTATTAATAAAATCATATACCCAAGGGGTCTCAAGAGGTGTATATATAAAGCTTAAATGCTTGATTAATTTCCAATCTAGAAAAAAATGAAATCGTTTCAAGATTGCAGTACTAGTGATTATGTAATGCATGTCATTAACTCTATCGTTTTTTTTAATTATATTAATTTATATTTTTTAAGGTAAGGAGGACCTTAATTAGACCTCAACCCTCACAATTTTTTTGGTATAGTATTTACGGGTTAGACACTTTAAAAGTAAGGGAGAAACGATAAAGTTTTCCCATCTTTTAAGTGTCCCTATTGGACATCAAACCTCCGTACAATTATTCTCACTAGACCAAGATTTGCTTGGTACGCCATTAACTCTATGTACTAATAATGTAATATATATGGCGATATCGTTTTCTTGAAATACTATATAATGAATGTTTATTAAAACAATATATTTCTCCTTTAAAAAAATAAAATAAAATGAAGTTGAGTAAGGTATTTTCTATCGGGTATTTAAATTGAGTCAACTTTACTATGTCTATCAACTACGACACTTATCCCTACAAAAAGTGAAGTGAGACACAACGAGTAGTGTACAAATCCCTTTCAATAATTATTTACAATATATGCGTAAAATATTGAAATTGAAATTGGCATCCAATCTTGAAATTTACAATATATGACGGTTTGCAATCTTGGCATTGAACCTTTTAGGTGGGATCGACCGATCGATTGGTTCAAAATGGTTTGGTGTTAGTGGAATAGTAAGTTTGTATACTAATTTCAATTATATATAATGATGTTTTTCTGACAGCATGTAACGACTTTATTAAGCAAAACAATCAAGCATTCTAGCGAGCAATTTGTCGAGAAATCAGAAAACGTTTGTAATTTAGCAATTAGCTAGCTGGGTCAAGGTTGCTTCGTAAGTTGGACGTAATCACGGGCCTTACTAATCCCATTATTTTTCTAAGAAAAAAGGGTTTTCATTTCCACCTCAATATGTCATTGCCGACTTGCCGTTGCTTGTGCCTCAAGTATTCTTTCTAGCTTGCACTACTCTCTCCACTTGCTTATATTATTCCCAAATAATTGCATTGCTCAACTGTTTGGGCATTGAAAATCACAGTAAGTCACTATTATACGAGTAGATGTTATTAATAAAAAAAAAAGTTAGGGTTGAGACTTGAGGCTTTACTTAATATGGGCTTGTTTTCCTTGAAAAGATCTAAGGAAATATAATGGGCCCATGCTATAAAAAAAAGCCCATTGGTAGGCCCATATTATCATAAGTCATCAAGTATTATCTTTAAACAAAGGTTTTTATCTTATAGCAACTGCGTGGAATACCTCGTATTATCAAAATTCAAACTAAATAAATTGCTCATCATAGACTAACTATCAAGCGGATTGTGCAAAATGTAGGTTTTAATCTCCTCAATCATATAGCTTGGAAAAAACTCTAGTTATGACCACATATCTTGGCTATTACTCTATTTATCCACTTGGCTATTACGCTAATCATCCACTTTCGAACTTGATACTCTGTATAAATCACCCTTAACTATATATATAAAACATCATTTAACTTTTAACAGACTCACCTAGACAAATAAAATCCTTCACAACCAATTATGTTACTAGGTGAGGATGTCACTGAGATTAGTTTTACCAAAAAAAAAAAAAAAAAAAAAAAAAAAAAAAAAAAAAAAGGGAGAAACACCTAAGAATAGAGATAAAATTGTTAGCTACTCCATACGGTACACCGTAGCTCTCTATACTTGGTTCTCAACACTTATAACTAGTATTCATTTTAGCTAGACTTATCTACACTTGTTTGAAAATTACTTCTTCAAAAACATAAGGTCATATATATGATTGAAATTCATATACAATAAGCTTGTTATCTTCTTGAAACAAGTATGTACTGTGCTGTGATCTTAAACGAAGTTGTCCAAAGACTAAGTTAAGTACAGTATAAGAGTGAATGCTAGAGACCTTCACAAATATTACTTTTACTTTTTTTTTTTTTTTTTTTTTTTGGGTTGAAAGAATACTACTTTTACTTATTAAATTCTCCCTATATATTGTGAATGTGGATAGATCAATTTGTGATATAAATTTAAAACTAGCTAAGGATGATATTGGAAGAGCCAATCAATGGGCAGAATAAGGTGGTTTATGCAGTTGGATCGACATACACCAATGACAACTCCTGAATGTGGTTATTCTTCACGGGCCAACTTAACATAGATGTTAGAGCCTATTTGAATGAATCCGTCCTATTACTAAATTTGCATAAGACAAATCTCCAACCAGCCTAACATCACGTACATCATTTGTTTCCATTCGCAACTTACACCAAAGCAGCACCACAACCAATTCATTCATACGGGCATACCAAAAATATGAAATTATTTAAACAGATACGTAGTGTAAAGTATATTTATACAATATATAATCCTAATCTTCTATTCCGGTCTATAAATACCAAGCTCTAATTCTTATATATCCATTCACTGAATTAGCCCAAAACACGTACACTTAACATCAAAAACACGATGAAGTGCAAGAGCTCCACTATTGCCATTGTTTTCCTTTCACTAAACCTCCTTTCATGTAACCTTGTTCAGAGTTGTAACCTTTGTGGGCAGCCTAACACGCCAAATGTCCCATATCCAAACAACCCTGTCCCTGGGGGTGGTAGCTCGCGAGGTGGTCACTGCCCAAGGGATGCCTTAAAACTTGGCATATGCGCCAATGTGTTGAATGGCCCCGTGAGTGCCGTGATTGGGACCCCGCCAACCCACCCTTGCTGTAGTGTCATTGCTGGCCTTCTTGATTTAGAAGCTGCCATATGCCTTTGCACTGCCATTAAGGCTAATATTCTTGGGATTAATCTTAATATTCCCATTGCTCTTAACCTTCTTATCAATGTTTGTGGCAAGAAAACTCCCACTGACTTCCAATGTGCCTAATTGATCCGCGTACGTCGGAATCATACATTGAACTGGTTTATTGATCGACAACCTAATGTTTTTTCGATTTTAATGTATTCATTTTAACTTGTGGGTTTTGTTTTAGGAACGTTTTAACTTTGATATATTCCTGTCGATGTTTGGTAGTCCTATCTACGTACTATCTATCCATGCATGCATACTGATGAGTAAGATCTTATGCTTGTTTGGTAGTAAATGAATGTATTCATGTCAATTTTACTCCATCAAATGTAGTAAAATCAAGTTGCTTTCTCAAGTTTTTGCTTCGGTCTTTGTATTAATTACGTACGTTATTGAGGTAAAATAGCTCTCAGTGAATTGAAGTACTCCTAATAATTAAGCATTATGTATGTTGATTGGACCATCATTTTTCTCTACTAATGGAAGCCCTGTCTGGCTAATATTGTTGAGACATAAATTAACCACTGTATGACTTATGCTTCTTTACATATATATAAAAATGCCATCGGCCAATGCTGCTAAGTTGGGCGGACCACGATCCACAGGAAGAGATCTCGATCCCTCCAATCGGATTTTGTAATGTCAGGCTAATGTTAGCCCTACCTACTTCCATATTTCATTTGGGCCTTATTATATAAACGAGGTCATATTTCTAGAGTGCTTACTCCAAGCCTCAAACCCCTTATGGGGCAACAATAGTGTTGTGGCTTGTGAGCCTTCGATCATCACTATGCTACGTCAACGCTTCACGGTATGGATTGTTTATTTACAATACTTTAAGATAAATTTTGAATCAATATGTCAAATTATATAATATATTATTGATACAAAATTAATTAGGAATTGATGTGTTTTTGTGACAATTTAAACAATGTAATAGGCATATACGAAGTAATGACGACTAAAAATAATATTGGTAAAAATATTCAATTAAATAATAAAAAAAAATTAGCAAAGTAAGCATGAAATATTAAAAATTTCTAAAAATTAGCAAAAAAAAAAAAAAGTAAAAACTTATTTCAAGCCCATTGGGTTGACCCAAACCCAAAACATTGGGCTAAGGTTGAACATTTCTTAACCTTATTCGAAATGACTTGTTACCCGACCCGATTGATAAATGTTGTACTTTTTGAACTGCTTTATACACTCCAAAAAATATTATGATATTAAAAATAAATTTAAATAATATTTATTGGTAGGTTTTTTTTTTTTTTTTGAACGGGATATTTATTGGTAGTTTATCAAAAATAGAACAATAAGGGCTTGTTTGGCATCATTTTTGGTTTTTAGTTTCATTCTTGTTTTTTTGAAAACTAAAAACCAAAAACAAGAAACAAGAAAAAGGTGTTTCCACTTTTTTATTGTCAGTTTTCAAATTATTATGATTTTAATAAGTTTAAATAATTTTTGATTCATTATGTGACATATATCATATACTTTTATACAACAAAAAACAGAAAACCAAAGCAATGTCAAACGAACCCTAAATTAACAATTTTAACTTAAATTTAATTCAAATTTGATTGAAAATAAAATTCTAAACTAAACAATTTTATCCTATGAAGTATATCTAAATAATCCAACGTGGTGCGACACTTGGCGAAAAGTTGAAATGTCATGTGTTGTTGTCTCGTGCCTAGGCTAAAAGTTTAGCATTACATATTAGTTATATATGTATGATTGGATAAAGGGCGTGTTCGGCGTTACCTTTTGAGTAGCTTTTTAACAAAAAATGTGAGTGTTTGGCAAAGTAGCGGTTAGGGTAGCTTTTAGTGGTGGAGGTAGCTTTTGTGAAAAGTTAGAAAGATTAGCTTTTGAAATTTGTACCTGTTGAAAATTTAATCTATAGTTTTAAAAATAAAATATTGATTTTTATATGTGACAGCTAGTCAACCACTACTTTACCGAACACTCATATCTAAATTATTTATTCTCAGCTAACAGCTTGTTGACAGAAAACAGCTACCTACACAGCTAACAGTTACCTCCACAGCTATAGCTACCTTTATAGCTATATTTTGCCGAACATGCCCGAACTCATGATGAAGCCAGACTCACCGAATACTTTGCGATAATTATAAGATCAGCATTTGATATGTTGCTTTTTCAAAAAGATTTTATTTTTCTTTATCCTTGTTCTCAAATTTTCACAAATATTAACATAGTTGTCTTTGTTATTCAATTGACCAGTATTTTATAAAGTCCATTAAAAAAAATTAACTTTTACACACAATGACTTTCAGTTTAACATAATAATTTTTATTTTAACATAATAATCTTTTTTTTATTAATAAAACGACTATAACGGATCTAATATTAATGGTTTACAATAAATTTATGTGAACAAGATATGTGGAAGAATTTGTATGTATACTATGTCGAATAATTGATTAAAGCTTTGGATAATGCTTTTAATTAAGATTGTTGTACAATACCCAAAGGATAGAATGCCAAAACTTTGGTAAAATAAAATAAAAATTCCAATTATTATTCGATTTGTATAATTGTATGTAGTATTTTAGATAAGCTATCATTAACACAAATTAAAACATGGAAGCACACACCGAGAATAGTTTTCATAGCATAAATTACAATGTTGAGATAATTGTAGTAATTATTTTAATTAGACTAGTTTTTTTTTTTTTTTGACAGAAAATATTCGAATTAAATTAATCAGAAACTAAGTCTGAAGCAAGAACAGCAGTTACATCAGAATGAACTAATTATTTAGACTAGTTATACTTGAATTTCCGCTTCTCAACATATGATCAAGATACAAAAAATGAAATAATAATGAATAAATTGATTAAGGTTATTCTAGTGGAGACCTATGTGACGAACTATTCATACATAACTAAGGTATAATGATAGGATAAGATATAAGCGATTGATTGATATACAAGTTCTTTATAATGGCTCATGGCAACCTTCAAAGGTGACAAGCACATATACAATATTACATGTTTCCTTATCACACTATTTTGAGTAGTTGACTCAAATTATACATAAATTTGCTCAAACACTTTCAGTCCACAACTCTTTCTAACCACCAATCATCCTCTATTATCTATTCCTCTAATCTTATTTATTTATACCTAAAAGATTATTGTAAATTTTGTCAAGTACTTCTTGTCAATTTCCTTTTTATTCTTTTAGTAGATTGTCATTTTCCATCTTCTACGTCATATTTATTATATTGTGCAATCTAATGATTTACCAAGTTCATATATATACTATATATGTAGTTTTTAATAAATATATGACAAGTCGGCCAAGTGCTAGGGGCGCAATTACAGTCCATGCATACTTACGATTTTACGAAGTCTGAAAGGATTATCAATCGATGAGTATTACACTATTTCGTGATACCTACTTATATCTTATATAAAATGTTTGGAAGAGCCGATGCAAAATAGAGGAAAAAATCCCTTTCAAGAGTTTTGCAAAGATTGTGCATATACACTTTTATTTGTATCATTTCAATAATATTGACTATAAATTCAATAACAAGGCATTAAAAATTAATATAGAATACTGAAAAAAAAATTACCCTTTTGAGAAGAATCATATACAAATGACAAAGACAATTTCGAATAGGACTTTTTGTGATAAACTAACTTATAAAACTAAATTTGTGAGAAACTACCTAATAAAAAATATGTTGTAAAAAACTACCTAATAAAAGGTAAAATATTGTAAAATACTAACTTTGACCGAATTTTCACCGTTGACTTAATTACGACGTTGATCCACCTTAAAACTCCCTCGAAACCACCATGAGGGTTGGTTTTCAAGGTGGTAAGGTTATTTTTTGAGGTAGTTGGAGGATATTCTGAGTTGGTGATGAGGGTAGATTAGTGCTCCAGGATAGTGGTATTTGCCATTTGGGGTAAGAGGTGGTGGTTTTGGGGTTGAAAGTTTGTTTAGGTGTGGTTGGTGGAGGTGATTTCAAACAAGTTGTGTTCGTTTTGGGAATAAAAGCAGTGGTTTTGAGGGTGTTTTGAGGTTGGTCAACGGTGAAAATCCGGTATAGGTAGTATTTTACAATATTTTACCTTTTTAGGTAGTTTATTTACAATCATTAGGTAGTTTATTACAATTTTTTCTCTATTATGTATTTTTTCACAAAATCTGGGTTTAAATTAGATAGTTTTTGACAAAAAGTCCTTTCGAATATGTTTACCTCAACTAAGGGTCTGTTCACATTTACTGAAATAAGCTGAACTGAATTGATTGGAGTTGAATTGAACTGAGCTGAAATGAATATTTTATTAGAGAGGGAAACTAGGAGTTGAAGTGAACTGAAATTAAATAAATGTGAACAGACTCTTATTATAGCTGAGTTAAAATACTAGTAAGTTCTAACAAATTAAAACTATTAAGCAAAATTCAGCAAAAAGAAAAGAAAAACATCAAGTTGAACTATAAGTTTGACATTGTTAAATACATGTTTGGGTCACACTCATCACCAAGAAAAAGTCCACTTCACAAAAGTCTAAAAAAGGAGGTTTTATTCCAAAATTAAATTATTTTGCAATAAAAAGAGTAATTAGATATATATAAATTGTTTAGGGCTTTCTCTTCTTTTATTAACGTATGACATTACCTGTGTTATTTGGAAAATAGATTTGGAAAGGTTAATTATACTTCAACAGGTATGCATATAAACAATTTTCTTGGCTAAAAATAAATTAGAAGAATTGAGATTTCGTCAAATAATATAAGCTAATTAATGGGGTGCAATTAACTTGAGCAGAGGTGATGGTGAAGTAGTTCCCTTTAAATTCCAAGAGGGAGATCAACCTGATGAGTTTGAATTCTCGTGGCGACTAGGATAAATTGGGTTTGAGGTGAGCCCAAAATTCAACGTACCTTGTAATAATGAACAAGCAGCCACAAACTAATTTAGTTGAAATGGTAATTTAGCAATTAAGTTTCTTATAAACGTATCATATGTAGAATTATAAATTCCTAAACAAATCCAATCAATTGACCTTCCAAATTTAAATTTGAACACACATTGCATCAGCTGATTCCACGACACTTATCTACATAGTTTATGTTTGAGGGAGGTGCTAATTAAAAAAGTGATGCGGTCATCATCTAATTGAATCATTTACGTGTAAACAAGTTTTAATCGTCTTTAATTATATTTTAATTGAGATGCCTTTAGAGAAAGAGCAAAAGGCATCTAAAAAACAATTAAATAACGGTATTTGGATCCACAGTCGGATATTCACATCACGGTAGAATCAGGGTCGGATATTCACGTCACACTATTAAATTAGTTTTGAT